GGTTGCTCAAAGCCCCATCCAGCCTGGCCTTGAACATTGCCAGGGATGGAGCTCCCACAGCTTCCTTGAGCAACCTGTTCCAGCGCCTCACCACCCTCACTGTAAAGAATTTCTTCCTTAGATCTAATCTAAATCTCCCCTGTTTAAGGGGACCCATTACTCCCTGTTCTATCACTACAGTCCCTAAGAATTGCATCACTCCATCAGAACCACATCACATACCTACTCTGCAAGCACCCTGCACTGATTCCCCCTCTGCTCTGCCCCAGAAAGCCTGCATCCTCAAGCCACCAAGGTCCTGTTTCTCAAATCATAGCAACCCAATGAAATACAGGGTGCTCAGGCATGAGGCAGTTACAACCACCTGACTGCAAATGAGAGTGGACATTACAATACTTGATACAGCTTGGGATAACAGAGAAAGGGATGTTTGTACAGAGGTGGATGCAACAGAAGAATGATCAATAGCAGCAGCATTCAGACGATTCCCAGTCTGACCAAGAAAAGCAGCGATACAGACTGCAATTCCTGTTCTTTAAAGCACCACTTTTGTTTAATATCCCCTTCAATGCTCAGTTACTCCATTACAGCACTGTAAACAATCAGGATGACCCTAGCAATAACAAATGAAGCTCTTGATGTTTTATCGTCCGCCTGAAAACAACTTACATCTCTTTTGACTCCCTAATAAAATTCTTGATATTCTTTATTTTTCATGTTCTAATTGGCTGCTAGTGAGCTCCTCTTTCTGTCCCACTTTGAAGAAAACCTGCTTAGATCAGCACACCACAGCAGCAGACAGCTTTTTGCTAACCGATACGCAAAGCAAACGCGTGAACAGAGCATTGTTTATTGCCTTTTCAAAATGGTGACATTTCAGATGTCTCCTGGCAGCCAAAATGTCTGTGTGGGTCATTGTGCACAGAGACGGGGATCTGCCTACCTAACATTCCTGCCGTGGCTCCAGCGGGGACGTCGTTTGCCTCTCATGCAGTCAGAAACACAACGTGGGATTATGGCACGCCGCTACAGCCAGCTGCTGTGTTTTGCCTTGGAGAAAGCTGTACTTTGCTGTTTTGAGAAAGGATCCTCCTACAGCTCCACACACAGAGACCCAGCCATCCTCATGGGAGCAATGGAGGAGCTGGCATCGGAGCGTAGGGTTTGGTCCCTTTGTCAAGGCTGTGGTCCTATTCATACTCTGACTCCAGGCACCAGATAACACAGGCATGAAACTCGACCAGAACGTTTGGAGTTGCTGCATAAAATGCAGAAGATGAGCCACTGGTGATTCAAACTAAGACACCAGGCACTGACCCTTGGCCATTTTCCCTGTTCACTTTGCTGGGGAGAGGGCTTTTCAGCAGCGAGGGGCAACAACCAGCTGGGCTCATAGTACCTGTAAAAGCCCAAGTGAGCTTGTGGAAGCTGAGCAAGTGGAAGGGAGTGGGGAAAGAGCCACCCTTCACACCTGCCAACTGCAATTTCCAGCCCATCATAGCCACTGGGAGGGTGAGCTGGCTGCATCCCCACCCTTCTCCACCTTACACACATGCTCAACTGTGAATCCAGATATTCCTGGGGGAGAAAAGGGTTAAGGGCCTCCAAAGGCACTTTCCAGAAAGAAAAATACGGGCCTTACATCTGTAGATGCCTTTTACTGCAGAATGGAAACACCAGGAGTTATCCCTGCTATCCCAATGTGTCCTTTCTCAGCTCCTTTGGGGACAACAGTAGCACTGCTGAACTGTCAGCTCAGAACAGGATTCTGCTGCCACCACCAGTAAAACAATCAGCGATGACGGAAGACCTCAAATGGCATCCAGGAAATGTGCCTCACTGGGCCACCAGCCTGTCATGAGGGTCAGCAGTACCCACAGATGATGCTCACATTGCTCTCCTAGTGATGGGCTCCTCATACTCCCCCGTTCTGCACTGTGGGCAAGTGCATGAGAAAGCAGCACTTAAAGTATTACATTAGGAGATGGCTTTGACCCCATGTGGTGCTCAGGTGCAAATGCCTCCCCAGGCTGACAGACAACAGATAAGTGGATTTGACAAGCAATTTATCGTAGTGCTTTAATCTATGCAGAGTTAATTCAATTCTTTCAATCCTATTTACTGAGACACTGGCACCCACGTCTATTCTGCTGCCATCATTTGACCCATGCGCAGCAGCAGACGTGACTTGGTTGCACAACTAAATGATGCAGCAGCACCCTGATTTAAGTTAAGCCCGTACTTTCAGATCTCTAACCCTCACTGAAGCAGCACAGGGCTGGCACTAAGCCTAGGCTTGTTGCATTGGGTTCTGTTTGCTGTACTTCTCATGCCTTTGTGGGGCAAACTCCAGCTTCGAAACCCCACGGTATGTCTAGTCTCGCTGCCCATTACTCATCTTGAAAGCAACCTCACTCCCAATTCAAGTGTGTGTACTGCTGAAACAGCACAACCAAACACTTCTGGGATTTGAATCCTTAGGACAGAGCAGCCTCTTACTGACTGCAGTGCCTAAGAGGATTTGCTAGGAAGTGTTTCAGAAACCCCAGTATCTTGTAATGGAAGGGCTCTCAAAACCACTGAGCCACTTCCCACAGACAGAAACGTTTGGGGCAGGGTGGGCTCTCTTTTAAAGAAACATGAAATTGCAGTAGTGAAATTAATTATCTGTATTCCTCCCCAGCTGCCTCTGGGCAATTAGGGCAGCCTCCCCCCGTGTTTCCCCGTGGGTCCTATCCAGTGTCACTATCAACACCAGGCACTGCAGCCCTGATTAAGTCATTACAAGTCCATCCTTGTTCCTCCACTTCAAGTCAAAAGCAAATAAGACACGTGCAGGCTTTGGAAGCCCTGAAGTGCCCCTCAGTCATGGGCACAGTGGGATGAGTGGAGCTGGCAGGGACCTGCAGACTCCAGCTGTTCTGGACAAGAGTGGTGCCTGTGAATTGGCTGAGCATCACTCACTGAGTATTTGCTTGATTTTCTGCTTCAAGGGACACATAATGATAAGCAGGGACACTACCAAAGTAGATTGATTATGCTAAGGCCACGTTACCATGCATCGTATCAGGTCGCAAAACCCAGGTCCAACCAGTGCTAGGTTACACCAAAGAATCTTTAAAGTACAGATCATCCCTTATATGGATGAAATTTGCTCCATATACACACAGGACCTTGTCCCCATCTTACAGCTGAGAAACTGAGGCACAGATTGCCACAGCAAGATGCTTACAGAGACATGACAAGGCCATAGAAACCCCAGGTGAAGACCTCAGTTTCACTAACTGTGCACCTAATGCTGCAAGAGCTAAAGAGGTTATTGCAGAGAGCCGTCACTGCTAATGCAGTGGTGGCCCTGACAGAGATTCCTGGGAGAGAAAAGGGTTAAGAAAGGGAATTTTGTTACTTTCTTGTCGTATTTTCTCGTGGGGGGAGAAGCGTTGTGCAAGCGAGAGTTTTCCACTGGCGCTAGGCCCCCTCGCACTTATCAATGGGACCTTTCAGGACTCACTCCCTGATTGAGACATCATTTCCTGTCCAACACACTAACCCCATTGATAACTCCGTGCTTGATGGGAACTTTTCAAACCTACCAGGAAAGGCCAGGAGACCCAGAAGAACATATACATGAAAACAGAACTGGGGCAAAAATTAAAAGAAGAGAGAAAGAAACAGCTCTGGCCACAATCTGCATGCTGACAACAACTGTGTGTGATTACAGAGCTGTGCATCTTTAGCAGGTACATTAGACACTTATTTAGTCCACACAGGGGTAGGACTGGCAAGCCTGGCACTTCAGCCCAGTAAGAAGTGGAGAGGGGTATAAGAGAAGCATCTCTCCTTTGTCTTCCAGCCACACAGCAAACACAGAAATCAGGACTGGCCACAGAAATGGTCCTGTTTCCTACCAGAAAAGCCAGGAGGCCATAACCGATACAGATTGCAGAACAGGCTAGAGACTTCAGATGTCCAAGTATCAGAAATGGCACATAAAGGAGAGCAATGGTGAAAGTAAGACTCTTAAAGATATCTCAGATCAGCTATCCAAGGGAAGAACTCTTTCTTCCCTAATTTATCATGGCAAAAAGGCTTAATGCTATTTCCCAAGACACAGCTCGGTCAGCTGTGTACATCCTTAACATTGGCTGTGAGGACTCACTTGATACTTAACCACAGCCCAGCTCCAAACACCATCTGCAGCCCAAAGTCAACATTCCCCCCAAAGTTCAGGAGTCTGACAAACCGCAGCTTTTGCTTTCAGCCCAGACAATTACAGCTTTTCTGCCTACAGAGGTATGATGATACAAAGGTATCAATGGACATGGATTATTGCTAAATAGTCCTGAGCCAGAAAGCTCTCCATACCCATGCAGGTGCCTGGAAGCAGGACCAGAAATGAAGATGCTCACTCTGAAACTTTGTAATCTGGACTTTTCCTATTTCCTGGCTTCAGACTTTGGTCAGCAGCTATCCAGCAAGAAAGCTTTCTATGAAATCTAAATATACAGGCACAGGATACAGCAAAGGAGCTGTACAAAACAGCAGGAGCCAGGACACCAGCTGACTGGGTAGACAATTAGGAGGAGAGTCTGGAAGGTTTCCACTACCATCTCCATTACCAAACTGCTGTGGGAGTGTGCAAAAGCTCTGCTGTTCTCAGTGATTTGGGGAAGTAGTTTCTGGGGGCCCAGAATGTAGCTCTCTTTCTGCTCTTTCTGTTCTAAGTGCATTTGAAGTATTTAAAATTAGATCCCCTCTTCAATGGGAACCATTCATGAAAATGTCAGCTTTAAATGTCTTTACAGTGCAAGTTACTTGCTGTGAGCATACCACCCACTTATCTTACACCCTACAAGGACAGAGTCTGAAAAGTTTCAAGATCATGACATGTAACAGACCAAACACACACAAAGCTTTATTTAAAGGCACTATTAACCCAGCTGGAAATGCGACTAGAAGGGAGTGGAAGTAATATTTTATGTTAGACAAGACAGACTTACCTGCAGGTCAAAGAACTTGCTGTATCTCCGATAGATGATCTGGGAAGTCAGGTCAGACCATGTTACGTTGATGATATAGACCTGTTCAGGGAAAAGAAAACACAAGTCAACGTGGGCCATGAAACACAGGATACATACAAAGGCTGAAGTCAGCTTAGGTTAATTCCACGTCTCACCGGTGCTCACAATGAGGAAAATAGCCCTGGGTGCAGCACTAGACTGAATTAAAGCTGTTGCCCTGTTGCAGCCTTTAGCAGAGATTTCAGGAGAGCACCCAGTGCTCTCTCACCTGTCCCCATCCCCAGCTCCCACTGATTTTGCTCTCCCTGGGATTAAAGCTTGGAGTGATGGCACATTCGCTCCTCCCTGGTAGCACACTCTGGTCTCTACCTCTACCCATCTGGAGGGTCCCAGGAGCTGCTGCAGGCATGGCTGAGAGAATGATTCTACCCCTGAAGCAACAGCTCACTATGAGCTGCTGATCTCCTATCCCATACTCCAGGTTTTCCTTGTACATGGAGATGTGCCTATGGCCCTTCCTAGGTAAAACAAGGAAAGTCAAACAGAACTCAGCACCTGGGGAGCTGTCAGATTACAGCTGTGCAACACAGCTGCTTACACACATCCATACAGGTGTGACAACACTCAACCCCACAGCACACAGCCACGGCTGAGCCACATCGTACCACTCAGCACCTTTGGCACCTATCAGACTGATTTGAAGGTGATGTAAACCAGGTCAGCACAAGTGGCACTGTTTTGTTACATCAGTGGAAATAAAAACAAAAGCCCAGAACAAGCCCAGAATTTGCCCTGTTCAGCCCCGCTCCATCCTCCAAACACATCATCTTACAGAAACACTGTTTTGCCAGAAGCTGTGATAAAAAGTTGATAAAAATATGCACATGCACACGCACACACACACACATATATATAAACCACAAGTGTTTCCTTTTGACCTCAAAACATTAAAAAGAATAAAAAAAAATAAGAAAAATAAGGTAAAAATGAGCCAGATTCTACTCTCATACACTCAAAGCAAATGCTGGTCCTTCTGCCTTGATGACAGATACACACGACTTCAGCAAGCACAAGACAAAGTCACTGTTGGTGACTATACAATGCAAGTCTAATGGAAATCACAGCTAGGCTAGCTCCCGGGTCTTTAAAGCAATCTCCAGGTTTCACATACGGAGCAAGACAAGGATCTGACATAAGAAACAGGAAAGCATCCCTCCTCCCTCAGCCCCAGTGCTGCAGTAACTCTCCCTTTTGTCATGGATGCAGAAGCGAAGCTGTCTCTAGCACAGGGGGATGGATAAGCATCACCTTCCTCTTCATCTCCCCAAGGACACTGGCCCATCTTCCATGACACTGATGCAGGGTAATTGCTTCTCTGCTTTTAATGATAAAGGGTATTGTATGAAAACCCCTGGAGGGATGTTGAAGAACAGGCTTAACAATGCCTTTCCAAGGACTGCTGAGGGATTTCTTCCTTCTTCTTCTTCCCCAGTAGGAGAGAGGTGCCAACCACAGAGGTCCCACAGCCTTGCTTTCCTCTCTGCTTATTAGACCATATTCAATCCCCAGGCTCCCCATCTACTGCAGCCCAGTTTCATGGCATTAAGGAACCAGACCTACTGAGCACAGGCTGTTAAGGAGATCTGGGAACTTTCCTAGAGCACTGAGGCTAATGACTAATTTGACTGAATTTGACTCAGTTATCGTATCAAACCTATCTGCTGCTCCCACCAAGCAGAGACAATCAAGGCTGGCAAAGAAGAGCCTAGCGGCAAGAAGACATCTCTCAGCAAACCCAGGTTAAACCTCTGCTGTGTCTTACATTCCTCCTGCAAAACGGAGCCACTCAACCTCCCTCCCACAGTATGCATATACACAAGCGTGACATGGATGGGAGATAAGATTGTGTAAGATGAAGATTTCAGGTCCCCTTTAAAGACCTTGTCCATGCAGACAAGGCAGAGGAGTCGGAGCCTGGGAAGGAAGCTGTTGTTGCCAATTTTCAGGCCAGCCACACTACACTGAAGAATATTTTTCCATGTGTTTGTTGTGAAGGGGAAAAAAAAAAGTTTGTAGCTTCACTCTGAGCTAATTCACAACACAAATATTTCTACTCATTCTCCATCCAACAGCTACTTTCAGATGGAAAACCCATTCAATTAAAAACAGATCACGACAGATGGGAGCTGACTGGGATCCAAAAGCAACTTCAGATACTGTAATTCTGGCCCTGGGTTCTCACAAAGGGGACAAGACAGGGATAGGAGAAACATATTGTACATGCAAATAAAGGCTGTATTTTTTCGTTAATAATGCATTTTTTCTCCAAGAAGCTAGAAACAAAACACATATGCCACAGGCTCCAGGCTTTCTGATATTCATGGCACTGCAGGCTTCCCCACGCTACTCTTCAGTATCCACAAAAACTGTGTATCCCCCAAAATTTTAACAGCCTACAAGTCTGACAGATCAGGATTTAGTCCAGACAGGAGTTAGTCCTGCTTTAAGAGTCCAGCATCATCCAGTGGTGCAGTAAGCGACACAACACCCCCATCATATGAGACTGGGCAGAGCCAGGTGCAAAGGCATGCTCTGGTCAAGAAGCTGGATGTGTTTGGCACAGGGTATGGGATTGGAGAAGGACCCCAGCTCTGAAATCCAGGCTCTGCAGGAAGGAAGCTGGCACTGACTCCAGTCAAGCCAGGATTTTGCTGCACATTCAAAACAGCAATTAGATACTTTTGAGCCTTAGGTGTCTTCAAGCTTAGCAAGTGATGAATTGGGGAGCATGCAGATGCACTGACTTTTTATTTCATGGGAAGATCATAGCAGGAGTGAGAAAAGCCTTTAATCATAACCCGGAGCTCTGTGAAGCAAGAAACTAATGGGCTCAAAATGTGCTTGGTGGGTTGCAGGTGCAAAATGTGAAATGGCTATTGATTTTCTTTGCTTCTTCGCGTAAATCAAATTGCTTCTTGACAGCCACCATTTCAAATGATGGGAAATAACCGTTAGCTTGAAAAAGATCTGAAAAATGCCACACTTTAAAAGCAAGGTCTAGAGGTTTCAAAAGACTTCGGTATCATATTTCTCTCCCTCAGAGATCAGAGTTTGGTGATTATTCGCTTCTACTGCCTCAGTCAGACCCATAACCTCTCCATGAGCAGCAAACATTACATCAGCTTACCTCGTCTTTCTTTTTTGCTCAGATCTTAAAAGGGTCACTGTGAAAGCGATCAGTGATGTCCCAGGGGAGAAAGGGAAAAGCAGTCCCGGGGGAGCCCGAGGTCATGCAAACGCAACGGGACAGGGAGGCAGCAGGAAATATCAGATAAATACGGACAGCCGTCCCACGCTCGAAAGCCCTGAACACCCGCTGGCCCAGCTTCGCTGCCTGCGGGGCCAAGGGAGGGCTTTCTGTGGCATCCAACAGCTTCCTAGAACTGAGCTACACAAGCCACAGCTCCAGCACGCAGCTGGTCCCTGCCCACAACAGTCCCAGGTCTCAGCACTCTGTTTCTTGATAGAAGACAAAAATCAAAGCATCTCACATGTCTTGGAGCAAGCTCTTCTTCCAAGTACGCTGTAAATACAGTGTTTTCCTAGGGTCAATACATGCACAGCACTAAACTGGAATCGTGACTGCAAATTAAAAAGTACTATAATAATTAATTCCTTAAGGTAAAAAAGATCTGCTTTCTGTATATGCCATGATCATGGCCTTAAAGGAGTCAAACACAGCTACTATTCAAATGCTTCCCCTCAAAAATCCTTAACAAAAAGAAGTCCTTCAAAATAAATACTAATTGAAGTGCAAATTACAAACAACTCACTGCAAAATTACTGGGTGCTCCAGCTCCTAATAAAGTTCAACTTTTAATTTCACAAATCCAATCATTTTTTAGTCTATGATGTATATGAAAATCAATCTTTCTTCAGAGAAGCAAGAAGCAGGCCTATACAAACTGGAGAATATTAATCAGGAACTAAGCTCGATAAGCAGCTCTTAATATTCATGCTGCATGAAAGAAAGTGCAGGATGTGAGGGGGATTTTATCAGCTGCTAATTACTGTTTAGCTCTGGGAAACTTCCATTTTACCCATCACAGAGCAGAAAATTTACTGCAAGCTGAAATTATTGCTCTCCCTTTACTGCCTACACCAAGCGATGAGGAGAGATGACTTCCTACTACAAAAAGCATTCACTCAAATGTCCTTGGGCACAACTTTATCATTGAATGTCTTGTTTTCAATGGAAAATATCCAGGTCCAGCTGACACAAACCCCAGCGGTAAAAGAGTTCAGGTTATTCCCATGTGACCAAGTTTTCAATTGGCTTTTTAGAGACTAATGTTTTGTTTCCTATAGCCAGATGAGCTGGAGTGGAAGATAAGTGCCTGAAATGAGCAGTGTGATGAGACCACCATAAGAACATCCAGAAATACATGAGCTATAGGCAAAGACAAGATTGAAGAGCAGAGACTAGAAATATCCCTGCACACGTAAGAGAGGGTGCTGTTAACCTTTAATAAGTAATTACAGTAAATACCAGCTATTATAAAGGTTTTATGAATGCAAAAAAACAACGCTACAGTACAATTCGTATGCAGATGCCATCATGACAGTCCCTTTTATCCTGGAGAACGTCAGCTTCGTCAAAGTCTCATATTTAGGTGTTGGATGTTTGTCCTCCAGTGGGTCATGATGGAGTTGGAAAGAGCACTCCTCACCTCCCATATTCAGATGCTATCAGTACCTGTGAGCTGGAAACTTCACCAGCACAGCTCAGCATGTGAAGGCTCCCGGGTCTGCTTCCATGCAAAGTCAGCCCAACTCCCACAAGGCTTGCAGCAACTTCAGCGGGTTCATTTAGCTGGTGGCATTCACAGCTCTAACAGCTCTAACTGCAGCAGCCCTCCATGAATTCAACATAACTCTGTGCCTTAAATTACCAGGGTACAGGCACTGCACCAATTTAGTTTGCATAACCATTTTAATGTCAAAGATGTGCTGATGAGCACAAATCACTGCTGGCCCAGACCCAGATTTGCAGTGATAAC